TTGAAGTCCTCATGTTCTTCTTCAATTCTAAATATCTTTGGTTAGGCCTCGTTTAGAATATGCTGCGCAGTTTTGGTCACCGTATTACAGAATGGATATACATGCACTGGAAAACGTACAAAGGAAGATGACAAAGTTGATACCATATGTCAGAAATCTTCCCTATGAGGATAGACTGAGAACACTGAATCTGCACTCTCCAGAAAGGCGTAGAATTAGGGACAATATGGTTGAGGTGTATAAATAGAAAACAGGAATTAATAAAGGGGATGTAAATGGCGTGCTGAAAATGTCTAACACAATCAGGACTCGCAGTAATGGTTTTAAATTGGAAAAAATTATATTCAATTCAAGTTTATTCTCTATAAGGGTAACAATGTGGAGTTTACAGGTTGGGTATTGTGTGGTTTACATGTTATAAAATACTAATTACAGAGGGGGGCACTAGGACACCTAGCATGGCTAGGCATTTCGGGCAGACTTAGATTAATTCTTAACATTAAATCCTTACAGATTATGGTATTAAGGCTAAGTGACTACATCATAATTTGTAGTTTAGCAATGTGAATGCTTTTGTTTTGGCACAATACAAAGTGTCTATATTGGAGTACTAAGGAACTACTAAGGGAGTACTAAGGGAGTACTCAGGAAGGATATAGGAAAGCATTGGTTTGATAATTGAGTGTGGATATGTGGAACAAGCTCCTGAGTACCGTCATAGAATCTAAGACTTTGTGTAGTTTTAAAAATAGGTTGGATAAATACATGAGTGGGTGTGGGTGGGTGTGAGGTAGACCTGACTTGCTTGTGCTACTAGGTAGGATGCCGTGCTCCTCCCCTAAGTGACGTGTCTGACCTCATTAGGTCAAGGTATTGGCTCAAGTCGGCGGGAGAATTGAACCTTCCTCGCATAGGCCAGTAGGCCTGTTGCAGTGTTCCTTCTTTCTTATGTTTTTATGTTTAAAGAATTTCCTGTGCAAAGTTCAGTGGGACAGAGAACTGGCAGAGAAGTTAGTCAATGAAATGATGGAATGTGTGACAACAATATGCAAGGAAACTGAGGAGCAGTTTGTACACAAGGGTAACAGAAATAACGAAAAGTTCAGGATGAGCCCCTGGTTCACCCAAAGGTGTAGAGAGGCCAAAACCAAGTGTGCTAGAGAAATGAAGACGTATAGAAGGTAAAGGACTCTTGAGAATAAGGATAGAAGTCGTAGAGCCAGAAATGAATATGCACAGGTAAGAAGGGAGGCCAAATGACAACACGGAAATAACACAGCAGCAAAAGCCTAATCTGACCCGAAGCTGTTGTACAGCCATATCAGGAGGAAAACAACAGTCAAGGACCAGGTAATCAGGCTGAGGATGGAAGGAGGGGAGATCACAAGAAACGGCCGAGAAGTATGTGAGGAACTCAATATGAGATTCAAAAGCTAGTCAGTAATTTTAAAAAAAAAAAAACTTCCCACAAGCTGTTAATTTACCCTTGATATAATTCAGTGATACCACAGAGTAAGACCTTTTGGATATACGAAAAACTAGGATGTTAATATGACTCACGAAATCGTAATGACACGACTACAAACAAACGATACCACAGGCGGGATTAGATCCCACGGGTTCTACCCCAGCTCGTGGTATGGTTAGGATGTTAATAACAGGATATAACAGTGATAGTATATTGAAAGTGCAGTGCCCATCCAGCGTTTCCGTAACGGTTGTTTAACGGTTTATGGTGCCAGTACAGGAAACTGTGTGGGTCTAAAAGTGAACTTGACTCACGAAATCGTAATGACACGATTGCAAACAAACCATACCACGGGCGGAGTTAGAACCCCCGATCAGAGAGTCATAAGACTCCAGCCCGACGCGTTACCCACTGGGCCAGCTAGCCACATTAAGATTCATCCAACTAGGTATATTTATACACCATAGATGCAAGCGAACATAGATCAGTGTGAGGAAGTCAGTAAGATCAGTAAATTAAAATATATATGAGTGGTCAGTGAGGAATGAATCTGGAAAGAGTTATACAGTGAACTTAACAAAACTAAATGCAGAGAAATTATGATACATTTCCACCCAGAGGAGAAAAATGGGAGGTCACGTGACCTTTTTCCGACCTCACACGACCCCCACCAGCACCCGTTACCCACACCCATAATATAATCATCCCTTAGCCCCCATAATTCACCCACTACCCACTAGCCACAAGCCTTGGTTTCTATAAATACTTCTCACATATTACCGTCACCAGTGCAGAGCAGAAAGGTAAAGTGAAAATCATTTTTTTTTCATGGCATACAGAGTGAATTAGGATATGTGCAGGATGTCAGTACAGCATAGATGTGGGACATGTAAAAAATCATTGAAGGAAATCCAGGATCACATGCAATCTACGCTTTTCCAAACATCATAACTCTCGTGCAAAAATAAACAATGCCTCAAGAAATGGCATGGAACTAGCAAAGTGCCTCTGGTTGTTGAATAAAGATATAGAGCATTGGACAGGTATCAGGAAGGTACTAAGGAGGGTAATAAAAAATAAAATTAAGCAAGAAAATAAAGATGAACTCTTGGACAGTTTACCCAAGATATACAAAACATGGGAGGAAGAGATAGGAGTGAACCAAAATTGCACAATGCACATACCAAAACGGATGACTCGAAATTAAAGTCACCAACTGAAAATAATATCGGAAACAAAAACGTCAACTAGCCCAACCCCCACCCACAGTGTTAACCCAGACCCATCCTCCAGCTTTAGCGCTACTGCCCACAGCACTGGCGCTGACCCAGACTTAGCCCCCAGCCTTAGTACTAGTCCAGATTCTGCTAGGGACCCTACCACAGTCACCACCAAAATCTTATATATACGACCATCATTGCACAAGATCGTAGCCCACATTACAGATGAAGTGAAGGAGCCTTTTTCTTCTTCTGCTTCTACTTCTTCTTCTACTATTTTTCTTCTGGGGAAATTTCTAATTTCTTGGAAGCAGGAGAGGGTGGCTGTGGCTTGGCTACTGAGGATTGAAGTGTAATCTTAGAAACTGTACAAATTGAGAACACACGTACGGAAAATTTTACCCAGCCAAAAGCGAAATGGTGCAAATTCTATGTTTGGGGCATCTGTAAGCATGTAATATCAGAACATACAAATGGGGCATGCAATTCTGAACATCCAAAAAAATGTCGTGACCTCCTGTCTAAAGGAGTGCGTCATTCTACCTCCTGCAGAAATAAGCCTCTCTTCAGTCCTCTAACAAAAGTGCTGCAAGACCAACTCCCCTGCATACCATCTAAATGGGACAAGGAGGTACAGACCTCAAAAGACACACAATAGTAGATACGATAACCAAACTAAGTGATTTTTCAGTGGCAGGAAATGAAGAAAGAAAATGGAAGGAAATAACAAAAATAGTCCACCCCCTTGGAGCCTTGTTGAACTGGAGGTACAGCCAGTGCCCTCCCCCCCTTCCGTGGCCCTCCAGAGCTACAACAACTGAAGCCAATAACAAACCCCCCCAAACAAACAAAATACGACATCGTTTATATTAGCTAATGTACAGGGCCTTAAGCCATCCACCAACAACAAAATACCCTTTATCAGTGGACTTCCAGAAGAGTCAAATGCGATGTTTCCAGCCTTTCAGAGGCCCACACAAAAGATTACTTTGACAATGAAATATGAATAAATGGGTACAAACTTTTAGATGTGACAGAAAGAACAGGCGATAAGGAGGGGTTGGCCTGTATGTCAAAGAGTTGCTCATCTGCACAGAGATGTTGAGCACCACAAATGATTTAGCTGAAGTTCTAAGAATAATGATCGAGAACCAAAACCTAGTTATCGTGGTTGTATATAAGCCACCAGATGCAACCTCCCAACAGTTCAAGGAACACCAGTAGTATATTCATGTCGATCTAGGAACACTGCCGGATTCCAGGATAATGACCATGGAAAAGAAAGTGATAATGGGGGGTCTGCATAACCTCAGGGCTGTCAGGGTACAAGTTTAGTATGTTTAATCATCCCCCAAAGGGATAGAGAGACTTATTCTTATGCATTACTAAGTAGGAACAGAAGTAGAACAAAGGATTCAGGTCACTGGGTGGCAGATTCCGGGATAATGACCATGGAAAAGAATGTGATAATGGGGGGTCTGCATAACCTCAGGGCTGTCAGGGTACAAGTTTAATATGTTTAATCATCCCCCAAGGGGATAGAGAGACTTATTCCTATGCATTACTAAGTAGGAACAGAAGTAGAACAAAGGATTCAGGTCACTGGGTGGCAGATTCCAAGATAATGAGCATGGAAAAAGAATGTGATACTCGGGGACAGCATAACCTCAGGGCTGTCAGGGTACAAGTTTAATATGTTTAATCATCCCCCAAGGGGATAGAGAGACTTATTTCTGTGTATTACTAAGTATAAGAAGGTAGATAATGATCACTTCTGACTCCCCAAACTCTATCACTCTGATAGATGGGAGAGGCAGTACAAAGGATTCAGGTGACTGGGTACAAGCTTGCCATCTCCGAGGGAGTTCCCCGGTCTGCAACTCACTGACGCAACTGTTGCTACTTCACAACACTGCTGGGTTCAAAGAATGCGGTAATGGAGGGCAGCTGGTCTCCGAGGGAATGTTGCTCGTCCGCCCGTACCTCAGCAAAAAAAGGTTCTTCCGGGTACTACGGTACCGTTTATTCTCGCGGCTGCTAGATCTTTCCAGGTGGGGGAGGCTTAAAGCAGTGAGAAAGGTCATCTAGGTAAGACCTTTGTGCTGATAGAGCTCTTATAGGAACTTTGACATATATATTTTCCTCTTACCCTATGTTTAGACTAGAGAAGATAATAATATACAGTTATATGTAAAGAAAAAGAAAAATCAGAGTTTGACAATATTTTTATTAATTCACATACAAAAAGGGCAAAAGCTGTGCAAAGCTTTTTAGCGCAAGCAAAATGGGCGAAACTGTGCAAGTTTTAGTGGTTAGACTGAATGACTGCGCTCCTCCTGTTCACTTTCTGTAAGATTGATAACCTCCCGCTCGAAAATGATTTCCTTTTCAGGTACGTCATCTCCTGCCTTTACTCCATCTGCTGTCTTTACTCCATCTGCTGTCTTTACTCCATCTCCCGCCTTTACTCCATCTCCCGCCTTTACTCCATCTCCCGCCTTTACTCCATCTCCAGCCTTTACTCCCACGTCGGCTGTTTTCCCTTCCTTCTCCGACTGGTTGTCAGGGTTCGCTTCAAGGTCGCCAGTTTGTTCAGCACCTGCTGCGGCAGGGACCTCAACAGAGTCATCAGATTGAGCAGTAGCAAGAGTAGAGAGGTCCACAACGAGGTCATCAGACTGACATGAGGGAAGGCTCTGCGTTTCATCGTTGTCGAGATCTGGTTCTTTCTTCATAGGCTCCTCTATATCAGATGAACTGTTCCCATCTTCCACAGGCTGTAAGTCATAAAGAGAACATATTTATCACTTTCAAATAAAGGAGTGGGACTCGTCTCTAATCTACCAAAGGAGGGAAACATAGAAGACAAACCCTTTCCTGAGGAAGTCTATGTTTGCGTTTCCTGCTATCATCACAATGACACCGGTTTAGGAGTTTGATGCCGGCGTGTTCCTTCCCTTCCAATCTACCAGCCGATAAAATCAAAACTTTACAAATTCTGACTGGCCCAGTGAAAACTGTTGAAGAAAAAGGAGACTCAACTTTAAAATTATTATGGCCTGTCATCGAGGGTGTTGGTGCATGGTGGAGGTGATTTTAGGACAATTTCCCCGGGTGTGCCCCGATCTGCAGCTATGGCACGGTTCACGAGGATTAGCGATTTTTGCTCAATTTGGGAAAATGGATATTTTCCCCAGAGTGAAAGAGCCGGCTCGTAGGAACGAGCAGAAGTAGCGTTGTGGGGATACACGATACAATCCCATATTCCAGAATTCTTCGTCCATTATTCCCCGACAATTACTGGCAATTATAATTCCATTCTTCTCAACAGTTGGGTTCCTTAGAGTCCTTGCTGAGGGAGAGAGACGGATAATGTTTATCAGTACGTCGGCGGCGGGTTAAAATACCGTGCTGCAGTAGCCTCCCACTCCTGGGTGGTTGGTAGGGGATTGGGGGCTGCTCTAGTCGACATTCGTCTAAGGTGGTTATACAAGGTTTGGCCCCTTCAAAAGCTTCTATCATATCCCAGAAATCATGCGTAGCATATTCTAAGCGTCTGATTTCAGCTGTCAGTTTCTTTCTGATTAAAATTGTCATATAATTTTTTCAATTTCATCAAAATCTTAGTAAATCTGGTCATGGCGCAATGACTTTGAAGGATTCTAGGTTTGCCATAAACTATGTATCACACGAGCCTTGTAACACACTTCCTGAATAAATCTTTCGTCTTGACGTTAATTGATGTAATAATATCGACAAACTGGGGTCCTTTTCTCCTTCTTCATTCAACGGGAGATTTGTAGATGAATGGTTCAGAGATAATCAACTGATGGCTGGTCCATTTTTTTTTTATGAATAGCACTTCGAGAAGGAACTTCTTGTCTCTATCCTGTCCCGGTATTTACTAAAGAGGGCAAAGCTCTTCTCTCGACTTTATGAAAGCTTAATTTTCAATAGGCTAGCCAGAGCGGCTTTTTTTCCGCTCTCTTTTTAACATAAAAACCACCTAATAATTGTTTTCTCGCCTTGTGATTTTTTATAAATCTTGGCTCTAATCTAATAAGGGTCACTAATTCCCTTACAACAGGCAAAAGTTTTTTATCGATGTACGCTCGACTGCTTGTCAAAGATTTAATGATTTGTAAGATGATTAAATTATGGTATGGAGGGAATAAAATACCATCTCTTATCCCAGTGAATAAAAAGATTATCTTGAAAAGATTCAGCATGGATTTCGCGTATGGCAATTCTTCTCTCGTGAAATACAGATCAATTATTCATTTAAATTTGGGGAAGATCCTCAGGCGAGAAAAGAAAGACTACTGTTTTTTCTTGATATTAAAGATAAAAGTATTTCCGGCGGGAGTTTATTATTGCCTATATTATTTTCTGTTTCAGATTTTTTTTTAATCTTAGACTCGTCGCAGCAGCTGCCGCGGCGCGCCCGCCACTGCAGCCGCCGCCGCAGCCGCCGCCGCCGCCGCCGCCGCCGCCGCCGCGCCACACCACCGCGGCCGCCACCGCCGCGGCCGCCACCGCCACGGCCGCCATTACAGCGAGCGAGCTTATTTGTTTTTTTTATGGGGGACTTACCCGTCTCAACAAAGAGGTCGGACGGGTGCCCGCTCGTGGGAGGTGGTGGCTCGAAGCGCCAATTACCCTTATGAGGGTGAGTTGCTACGCCGGGGCCAGTCCTGACCTTCTCATCCTTGCTTTGGGCTGGCTTAACTTTCACTCTCGAGAGGCTGGAAGATTCCTTCCTACGCACCATAGTGGTGGGAGCGGTGCTTCTGCGAAGGTGGGGAAAACTAGATTCACCCTTAGGAGTGGGTAAGATATTTGTTCCATTTTTAAAAATATATTTTTCGGCGGTTAGCCGAGGGATGAGACAAAATTCCTTTACCACCATTTCGATTATTTTTTTTACTTTATAAAACTACTAATCAGCGAGACTAATCAGCGAGATGACCAGAGGTAAGTGTAGTTAAGATGGCTCCTCCACACTGACCAGAGGTAATGTAGTAGTTAAGATGGCTCCTCCATGCTTCGAAAGAAGAATATTTTTTTTTATAAAGTGGAGTTCGTTTACGGGCAACGGTGAGAATGTCTCCTCTAAACTTCTTTAATTTGCTCAAAATAGTCGGTTCTACTGTTAGATTTTTCTTAAGAAAATTAGCAAATATCTCAGATATGCAATTAATTTCTTTTTTTTTAATTCCTTAATAATACGATTGCGAGCTTTAGCTGGAAGTTTGTTTAATAAAATTAATAACTCTCTGTGTTGCACTGCCAGGGCTTACCCCTGTCCTGACATTTTGCATGTCCTTCTCGTGCACCCACTATCTGCACTTCAGGATAACCCACCCAGCTTACCAGATATTCTCTACTGCCGTCAGTTTTTTCTTCTCTGTCCTCAATATTTTAATAGGAAAAAATTCAGGTAGATATGTTTCTATTAATTCCTGAGCGTAAAATTGCCCGAGTATTTTTTCCCCGCTCAGGTCGATAAGAGAATATGAGGGAATTACTTGCGAATTATCAACCGATTGGATTTTAAAAATTTCTTCGGTGTTTTGAGGCCAATAACTCTTGTGAAATATCCCCCGGTGGCTAGTTATCCACACATGCGCTCCAGGAGTCAGTCGTGGACTAGTACGAGGCTGATGAGGATGGGCATTTAAATACATTAGCCCAAACTGCCGACGAATGTCTCGAGGAAGACTCAGAGAATGCACTTGTTGTGGAATTTGAACCTTTCTTGAGAGAGGTGTGAGGAGTTGAGTTGTAAGTTTCTACTATGGCTGGTAATACCTCTATATATTTTAAAGAATTTGTTAAAGTCATATAGCGGTTAGATTCTATGCTTAAGCGTGCGAATAGCTCGTTCCACTATTGCAGCCTTAGTGTCCGGAAGGACTGTATAATTTAATATTTTTTTTTTTTTAGTAATTCAGAAGAGGACGGTTATAAACTCGGTCCTCTTCCGTGTGTAATCTCGAAATTCCACGGAAGTGGGGCTTCTATAATATTTCGTAAGGCTGACAAGACGCTTTTTGAGTTTTTTCTGACTAGTCCTACGCCTTCATTAACCTTGAAAAGACATCAATGCATAACAAATATATATTTAATGCCCCATTGTGGGAATGTAATAAAGTCATGTCCCCAAGTCGCAGGTGAGTATATGCGAGGGCAGTCGCTATGATTTTCCATCTGGAAATCGCAGAGGCTGCAATTTATGCAAAGTATGGCCCTCTGAGAAGAGAGATAATCTACTACATCTTTATAAGTAATAGAGGCGTTTTTCCCTAGCCGCTCTAAAAAGTTTGTTAACATTTCCCAGTAAAGCCACCGGGCTATTGACGTCTCTATATACTTTTTCTAGAATTTTCCTTTTATGTGAATTAAGGCCATTTTTGTTTTTACCAGTGGTATACAGTTTTCACAGTTGCCCTCTCCGGTAATGAAGCTTCGTAATTGAATTTCCTCAGGAGCGTTTAAATCAACCAGAAGATAGCCATATTTATCCGCAGTGACGTGACGATATATCCAACAAATTTCGGGGCTAGATTTTTCCATAAATTTGTCGCCCGAGACATTCCAGCTGAGACAGATCTCGTTGTCTTAATAAAATATATTGGCTACAATTAAGCGTGATCGTGCGAGCATATTTTCCTTGTGGAAATAAATTTTGAGATATGAGAATTACGGATTTTGCTCGTGTCTTCTCCTATAGTAAACATATTAGCTATAATATCACTCTTAACTGCTTCATTAAAAAGGTCATCAATTATATACAGAGAGCTATTGTCTGTCTCAAGGGGATTTTGGTAATCTGCCGGGTTAATGAGACCTTTCACTAAAATGATTTTTCTCACTAAGAGAGGTGATTTCTTTCAAAGGGTGAGTTTTATCATCCAGACTGGAAATGATTATTCTCGCGAAAGAACCGGCATATTTCTGACATAAATGCTCCACTAGACTGCTCTTGCCTGCCCCGCTAAAACCAGCAACAAGTATTCTTGCAGGCTCTCTGAAAATATTCAACTCTTCCTCTGTAAAGGTACAGACCTTGTCCATCTTCCCATCTCAAATGAGCCTTTTTGTGGAAGAATCATCTTATATATAAACATTTCTTTTTAGTTCAAAGCAGAGGGGAGGGGGGAGTTTATCCCGGAGATGAAGATAACAATGCCAGCACGTCCTTCTCCCGCCAGGAGACCATAGAAAAAAAGCCCGACCGACAGTGAAGGTCGTCTGGATATTATGCAGTTTCACTTCCTCGGGCGGGGCCCCTACGCCAGGTGGCGGTGGGTAGAATGGAGGTCACAGACAAAGAGAAGCAGGCTCCGCCACTTTCTGCCAGCTGATGGCTATTTATTTATTTATTTTTTATTTTGGGGAAAAATATATTATTATTATTATTTTTAAGAATATTTAGTTTTGGCGATGGACAGAATCTATAAATTAATCATTCCCTCGCCTCGGCTTTATACAAATGGGAAATTCACATGACTATGGCAATTTACATAATCCTCCCTACTTGCCCGGTCTAAATTCTTATTTTTTCGTTCGGGAAAAGAGTTCTTCCCAGATTTTATCCCTCTTACTTTATTGACAATAAGAAATCTTTTCTAGATTATATTTATAATATATAGACTTGCAGGGATTTTTGTTTAAAAGATTCTCGTGAAAATAGAGAGAGACTGATGTGAAAAACCGTACCTCTACTTTGGGGAAAATTAAGCACCTTATGAGCACGCTATCCTAAAAGTGAGCTATAAATACGCTCACCTTTTCATCTAGGGCGAAAGGTGGTCTTCCCGCTCACTCAAAAAAGTTACCAGCTTAGATTAGTGCAGGTAAAAACTTCTCTGTCTATGGGAGATTAAAATATTATCTATAATTTAAATAATAATTTATAAAATATGAGTGTGTGTGTATTTACAGCTATGGCTCGTCACCCAGCTCGCAGATGCCACCTATGCGGGTGATTGTACCCTCAGGATGCAGCTCATCACACATTCCCCTGTAATTTCTGTGGGCTATCAGTGTGTGTAGCGAATGTC